AGCCAATGTACCTCTCTTGAGCTGCAATATGTGCCTTGGAACCCAAATGTTTGAGAAGTGCAGGCTCTCCTATATTCCAATTATTCCAGCCATCAACAGTAAATGCCTCCGACCCACTGCCCTTCTTAAACAAGTAGCATATAAAGCAAAATGCAGCATCCTTCTTAATACTATACTCAAGCCATTCATGATTGTACATCCAACAAAAATTGAATTGGCGATTTTGTCCTGAAATCCATGTTTTCGGAAAATCATGTGCAAAGGGTTTAAATGGACCTTTAGTAATATATGCTCTTCGAATTGCATCTTGATCCTTAACTGGATAACTACGAATGGGACGTCTTTCACCTGGATCATGTGGAAGACGATTGATATTTACTCCTGTACATCGTAGCAACGCAAGGTATGCTGTAGCATATACAGCATACCCTGTAGCTCCGCCCCTGCCACTTGTGATGCCAATCAATTTGCATGGGACTGAAGGAAGCTAACCAATCCATCCCCAAGATCATATCATAGTAAGGTAGAGGCATAACCAGGAAGTGAGACTGAAATACATGATCCTGAACTTCCCACTGTAGATTACGGAAACCCAATGAACATGGCACCAGACTGCCGTCAGCAATGCGAACTTTAGGTGCCGAAGCCAACTGTGTAGCCCCAGCTAATTGTGCTGCCAATGTTTCACTGAGAAAAGAAAAGGAACTTCCAGAATCCACCAGGATGGTGACATTCTTGCCTTGCACAGTGCCACTCAATAGAATCGCCCGAGCAGCAACTGCCAATACTTGATTTTCATCCTCATTGGGCTCGCAGCACTGTTCCGGGTCATCAACGTGACATAAATCCCATACCTCTTGCAGAACATGTACTTGGATCTTCTCCGGGCAGCAGTGATCGCGAGACCACTTTTCGCCGCAACGGATGCAGAGGCCTCGAGCGCGGCGATAATCTCGCAGCGTCGCGAGCTTGGCGTCGACAGTAGGCGAGCGCCGATCATCAGTCGCCGTGGCGCCCACAGGAGCACGACCACCCTTGTCCACCGCAGGAGGAGGCAAAGGAATGGCCCCCGTCGGCGGCAGCTTGGCGTACCTGTACCCATCAGAACGCCTCCCATCGCGGCGTTTGAGCGGGTCCACCAATTCCTCCTGTAACAAAGCCAACACCACAGCAGTATCGACCGAAGTAGGACGTTGCATTTGAACAGCAGAGCGAATATCATCGCGAGGACCATCAACGAATTTCATGGCATAGAACAGAGGGTCTGTGTTCTTGCCATAAGCCAACAACTGATCAACAAGCTTTGTAAAACGATCGCCATATTCCTGCACCCCAGTAGTTTGCCGGATGTGCAACATTTGCCGCAACAACACCTCATCACTACCGGAAACCCTTAGTTTGCCGAGTGCATTATATCGGACACTCGCTACCACAAAAACACGGCAAAATAATTGCACTCGGCAAAGTTTGGCACTCGGCAAACGAGAACAAAAATACTCGGCAAAAGATAGGCACTCGGCAAAGTCCACATCCGTTAGTACGTGTGCCGTCTGAAGGAAAAGAAAGAAAAGAAGAAAAAAGAAAAAAAGGGGTTTGCCGAGTGTCCCGATCCGACACTCGGCAAACCCGGATTTGCCGAGTGTCAGATCTCGGACACTCGGCAAACACATCGTGGCCTCCACGTCGTCGATCCACGGCACCAATTCCTCCGCCAATCAGAGACCACTGCTCCATTCTATAAATAAACCGCACCCGCGAGCGTGGGAGGAGCCGCCGGGCCGAGGCCACAGCCACCCACAGGCACGAGGCCGTGCGGGGCCACTGGCCGCCGTGAGGCAGGCCGGCCACGGTGAGGCCGCTTGCGCGGGTCACCTGCAATGGGGAGTAGCCGGTGGCCACCACTGGTCGCCGAATCTGTCGGGGAGAAAAAAAAATGGAATCGACGATTTGGAAGGTACGAATGATTGCAGTTACCTTAATCCAGTGTTTGTTCCATCTGGAAATCGTAATATCTCGATTCAGTGGACGCTGATTCCTCATCGTCCCGTCACAGCAACAGTGCCGTCTAATAGCCTTTCCCAGCGGAGAGCAGCGTGGCTTGCAGTGGAGGCAGCGACGCTGGCGCATTGTCTCCGGCGGGTCCTCCTTCAAAAGCAACGCTGGCAACTTCTTCAACAGTACACCGGCAACTTCTCCGGCGTGCTTCCACAACCTGGAGGCGCACCTGCACCTGCTGGACGTCTACCAGGGCCGCGGCCGGGAGTTCAGGCTCTGCGGCAGGGACCCGGCGCTGGCGACCCCACGACGAGGGCACGGCACTGGTGCTGCCAGAAGAATGGGTGGAGGAACGGCGGGTAGTCGTCCATGCGCACGTCGACCGCGAGCAGCACGCGCTTCATGACGGCATCGATGTTCTCGATGTGCTCCTCGTGGAGGTCCAGCAGGCCGAAGGTGCTCCGGGATGCGGCGCGCGGCCGACTGGCGGCTCGGAACTCTGCCTTGCTAGCTCGATGACCTCACCGTGATGTCATGCTCACACCTTATACGGTGATTTCCCTTTAGAAAAATAAATTTAGAAAAACTTTAGAAATACAATTATACCGGCAATGAACCTCTACAGTTCCTCTCTGGATGATTGTCGAGTGTTTTTTTCGCGTGGACACTCGGCAAACACGATATCTTTGCCGAGTGCCCGTGCCATTAGACACTCGGCAAACGCACTGTGACCGTCTTCTCGTCGTCACGTTACTTTTTTTGCCGAGCGTCGGTTTTAGCACTCGGCAAAGTCTTTGCCGAGTGCACGATAAAAAACACTCGACAAAGAAACTTTTACCGTCACAGTATACGCCGTGTGCTGTCTGCCGAGTGTAACACTCGACAAATCCTTTGACGAGTGTTTTTTGGGTTTCGCCGTGTGCCTTGGACACACGGCAAAGCTCCTATTTTCGGGAGTGCATGCTGGTCTTTACCAAAGCGATCTAAGAGCAAGCGGCAAAACTCCCCCCAACTTCCTGACCGAAAACTGGGATCTAGTGACTGCAACCAACAAGCTGCCGCCCCCGACACCTGCATCGTAGCTACTCTAATCCATTGACTAGGCTCCACAAAATACATCTCAAAGTAGTCCTCACAACGGGAAATCCACAGCTTAGGGTTCTCCCCCATCAAACCTGGGAAAATTAAACTTAGGTAGCTTGCTATTAGAGTGGCAGTAACCCCCATGATCATAGTCCCCCGTGACCGTGATGACCACACTGTGGCTGCACCCGAACTGGACCATCCCCAATTTGAAACATACGTCCTCCCTGCTCTAGAACAGACCCAGACAGCGAATGGTGCATGCCCGGGAATGGACGCGGCAGCGGAACAGGTATCGGACCAGTGTGGAAGGTAGCAGCCGAGATCGGAATCGTACCCTTGACCGGAGACTGAACCGGAGGTTCAAGTCCCCGGTGACGAAGTTCGACGCGGGGCCCAAAACACAGGCTAGTAGCCGGTTTCCCGGTGGATGAGGATGCGATGGCCACGCCAGGTTGATGCATGATGCCCACCGGCGGCGATGGACCCGCGTCGAGTGCGGTGCGGCTCACCATCTTGCGGAATGCCGTCATCTCTTCACGCATCTTATCCACGGCCTCCTCAGAGTTGCGAATAGCGCCCATCTCGAGACGCAGCTCCTTCACCGACGCGTCGATCGTCGGCTTCCAGGTGTCGAACACCTAGACTGCATCCTCCTGCTTGGCGAATCGCTCGGAGATGAAACTCTCGACCGACCCGATCCGTCGGCCCAGCGAGGTCTCCACCTTGCCCAGCGACGACTCGACGCCTCCGATGCGGCCCTCCAAGGCCGAGCGCATCGCCTTCATCTCGTCGACGGGCAGCTTGGTGTTGGGATCCATGGCTCCAAGCTGGCGTCGTAATCTGGTGCGGTGGTCGTGATCGATTTGGTGCGGCTCTAGGGTAGTTGGCTCGGATCGACTCGCTACGCTCGTCACCGATCAGAACGACCTTGGCACGGACCTACGGAATCACACGCTCGACACCGAAGCGAGGAGCGGCGATCAACCTGCCATCAGGGATTACGTTCCCAGATCAAGGCGAGAGCGAGGAGAAGAAGGCCGAGGAAGGATAGCTCTGGTACCAATTTGTTAGCAGCACAAGAGAGAGGAAGGGAGGAATCGGAGATCGGGCAGGGAAGAAGAGCAGGAGGAGTCCGGACGAGTTCTTCGTTACAGGGAAGGGGATAACTTGTCTTACAAGATGATTCATGCCCTCCAACCAGGCAGGGACTTGGGCTATATAGCTAAAACACACTCACGCCTACTTGCATAACTGGGCCTTTACCCATTGACCCACTCAGGCCCAAAGACACGACGATTCTTGGCCTCGGCCCGCCTTGGTCTTCCAGCATCTTCCTGTTGTTCATCCGGCACGGGTTCAGCCCCAGGCGATGGAGAGGGCGGCTGACTTGCGAATACAGAAAGTGATTCTGGAGACGGATGCCTCCATGATCGCCCAGGCAGTTTATTCCTCGTTGTTTGATCGATGTTCTGCAGGAGGTCTCATATGGCAAATGAAGGATCTGTTGGCTAGCAATTTTACATCGCATTCTGTAATTTATAATCCCCGCTCTTGTAACTTGGTTGCTCATAATTTAGCTGCCCTAGGGGCGAGTCTAAGTCCGGGTGTTGATCCGATTCAGGACAACATTCCAAATTGCCTTCGTGTACTGGTTGCCAAAGATTTGGCGTCAGTTTATGAGTAATGGAGATCCCTTCCATGTTCAAAAAAAAAAAAAAGGAAGAACGTAGGAACGTGGGCGCCAGAGACTGCCTGAGCAAGGACAGTCAACAGAGCTGCTTGCATATTGCCATATTCACCCATCTTGCACTCGATGTACTATAGCCACTAGGGTAGTTGTGCAATGCAATCCTTGTGATTGTAGTATATTGTCCTCCGTTTCCACTCCATCAGGTCGATCCAGCGATCCACCTTTCGAGATGGAGCGTCCTTCTCTTTCCGTGGCGATATTCCTTGTCGTCCTCATGCTTGCTCTTGCTCTGCTGCCCAGCAACAACATCGACCAGGCACAGGCTGCAGCTGCAAAAGCAAAACGCAGCGGCGCGCCGGAGCGTATCCTCCTACCCCTGGTGGGCCGCGACGGCGACAAGATCACCCTGGCCCTGCAGCCCCACGACCTCTCCCTCGCCGGCTTCGCCAACGGGAGCCACCACTGGTACGCCTACCCGGGGTATGAACACGTGATCCGCAATAGCACGACGCTCCCGTTCGGCAACACCTACCGCGACCTCATCAGCGGGCAGGCGAACCTGCCGAGCCTATGGTCCCGCCCGCGCTTCGCGCCATAGGTGCCATCCCCACGTCCGACGACCCGGCGAGTGCGGACGACGACACGCTGGGCGCGCTCAAGCGCGGGCTGGCCACTCTCACAGTGATCAAGTGCGAGGCGATGCGGCTGGCGCCCATCAGGGACACGGTCTCCGACGGGTGCGAGAGCGGCGACGCCCTTCTCCCCAAGTAGCACCTCCCACCGCTAAAAAAAACGTTTGTAGCAACGGGGCAATTTTTTTATAGGGACGGCTGGTGATGGAGCCGTCCCTACAGTGGGCGTGCTCAGGACCCATGAGACATGCCACCCCTACAAATGGAATAGTAGGGGTGGCTGGTGATACGAGCCGCCCCTACAAATGGGTCGATTTATAGGGGCGGCTCACTCACCAGTTGCCCCCGGTGTTTCTATTTGTAGAGGTGTCTGGTGATTGAGCCACCCCAACAAGTGCCTCACGTACAGTCATTGAGTCACCCACCTAAAATATCTACTGCCCTCCTCTCTCTCTCTCTCCGTCTCGACTCTTCCAGTGTTCCCTTCCCCTCCCTCTCTCTCGCCCTCGCTCGTTGTCCCGACGGCCGCAGCTCCTCGCCTGCCCGTGCGGCGCGGCAGCGCCCCCCCCCCTCCCCGGCCGACGAGCTCTAGACCCGCGGCTCGTAGTGCTGCACTTGTTCTCCTCTCCAAATCTGACTTTTTCCTTTTGCTGTGATTTTCGGAGCTATTTTAGGGGATTTTTCATTTTGTCGATTTGAGACCAAATCTGTTCGTTCTTTTTGTGTTGATTCGTGCTATAACATGATTTGAAGCTATCCTAAGAGTTAATTTGATTGAATCGACTCAAGCACGGAGAAATCAACGATTTTTGTTTTGGGGGACTTTTACGTGTTCTTGGCTCGATCTGAAAATTCCCGGAGATTGGGTAGAAATTGGGCGATGATCTCTTGGAGTATCCTCACTAACCCACTTGTGATGGCATGTGCAAAGTTAGGGATCGAATCCTTTTTATTTGGTTTGGTTTTCGTCGATTCCTATGGTCGGCTATTTTTTCTGTTCGTGCAGTTGGTTCTCCGTTCGTCGCATCGGGACCCTTTCTTGTAGTTGGCACTGAAATTCCCTACTGTCTTGGCAGATTTCTGACAAAGGCAAGGTTGTCGCCCTACCACCTTGGCTGGTCGAGCGCCGGTGACGCCCTGGCCATCGCACCGGCTCGCCCTTCCTCACCCTTGTCGTTGATGAGCATCACTAGGGTGAGCTCACCTTCCTATTCCCTTCCTGCTACGGTGTGAATCTGAGCACTCAAACCCTAACTAGCTATTTGGTTATTTTTGTTCACATCTGATCCATTTACAAGTGTATATCCTTGTGTTATGCCTACTGTGGTGAGTTGCTTTCCCCTTCGTAATGGATGTCAGTTCATGGATAGATGAATGGATCAATGGAGGGTGTTTCTATTGTTTGGAAATCATGGACGTCAGTTTAGTTTGGAAATCATGGTCTTGAATTAGCATTGTATCTAGAATTGGATTGTACCGGAATAAAATTCTTGTGGTATGAATGCTGTGTCTGCTACTGATGTTCTCTTTTTTCCTGTGGTACATATTTGTTGATCTATTTGCCTTTTTTCTTCTGGATGGAGCAAGGGTACAATATGAATTTTTGAAGAAATAAATATGCCTCTTTGATTTCTTAGATACGAGGTGATACATGTGCATGACTACTAAATAGCAACCTGCTAGGAAGTATCTACGGTAATGGCAAAGAAAAACTCTATAATGTGGATTCTAGAATTCAAGATGTCTATATGATAGATCGTTAATTTTTTTTACCATGCATACCTTTGATATAGTCAATCATAAATGGGAATATTGTTGCCCTCTTTTATAACTAATATATATTTGCATTCATGGATAGATATGATCTTTGCTAATTATTATGATTTAGTATGAGATGGGCATATGTTTTGTCATTTTCCTTCTTCCTGCTTCCAGGTGTTGGGCAATAATAGCAATTGACTGGGCAATTAATGAGTCTTCCTGCATGTCCAGCTTCCAGTTTTATGTCATGTAAAAAACCGTTTGTGTTCATGAACATCAATTGAACTGAACTCGATCTTATGGTTGGGTATCATGTAGATGGTAATTTATTGCATAGTCAAACTGGTTTATGCTCTTTCTTCAAAAAAAAATAAGTCTAATAGTTCTGGTTGTCTGAAATCTCGCTCTCCCAACAGCAGGTCAGTCGGCGTGAGGATTTTTAGCACAAGATATTTGGCTATCTGTAATTGGATCTGATCTAATTGCAAGTTTTAAGTGTATAAATGTATTATGCTTACCAACTTTGATTTTTTTTTGGAGATCTGCGGTTAGGGTTGCTGATCAGATCCGTTTTAGTGTTCGAGGTAAGTTATACCATGTGATCCTCTATTACTTATTGTTTCTTGTTAGGATTCGTGTGAGCTATCCTCTGTTACTTATTGTTGCTTGCTAGTATTCGTGTGAGCTGCAAAGCCATTTAGTCATAGCACCCACCCTTTTCTCACCTAGGACGGAGGGAGGGATGGTACTCTGATGATTAGCCTTTTTGGCAGCTTAGATTCTTGTAAGATGACTAGGAATGTCTGTTCAGCTCCCATGAATTAGGCTGACTATGCCAAACGGTTGCCAGAGATGCAAAATTTGTGTCACTAGAATTTAATATTCCCTGAAATTTCAGCCCACCCTATTTGTTGTTTGTTATGGAGTGCTATTCTGTTGGTTGGATTTGAGGATGTTTGACTTCAATTGACTGTTAGTTTTTTTTTTTGCCACCATTCAAGCATATCGTAAATGAATGATGCAATTTGTGCTTATACTGAAGCATGAAATAACTTATACGCCCCATGAGAATTTTGCACAAGTGGGGGAGTTGCATTAATTGATATAGAGAGTGAATCCTTCTCCCATTGAGTGTGAAATTACGTTTTGACTGTAAATTATTGTTGTTTTTCTTGCATGCATAAGTATAAGGCTATGGTGTACTCTATGGCTATGAAAGGTGCAAACGAAATGCGCTCCTCTTTTTACTATTCATTTTGTTTTCTTGGAATTCAAGGGTTATTGTTGAAAAGTCTTTCTTCTCTGGAGATCAATTGATGTGCACTTCTGAACACATGTCCGAATGGCAATGTGGTGATGCTTGATGAAGTAGGCTCATTTTTTTTTCACCACGGACAATCCGAATTTCATTACTCAAAAGCAACGAAATTACAAGAGTTTGGTAAACCATAGTACACACTTAGCTCAAACTAAACAAGCCGCCAGTTGCACTGAACACACAGGGTTCAGACAAAAGGCATCCAAAACCACCATCCCCAGCACAGTCTAAGGCTAGATGAGCCATGATAAGAGCTCTCACCTCCAAGGCTATGAAGAGTACGATTTATTACAAGCCCAGATCTGATGGAGTAGGCTCCTAGAATGATAGAACTACTTACTGTTTCTCGATAGTTGAAAATTTTGCCTTTGATTGCTATTAAATTATTTGATTTGCATAATCAATAATTCATGCAAATTTGCAAATTACTTTAGGAATAGTTAAAGAATTACTGAGTTGTTCAGTGGAAGCATAGCAGATTCTGATGTTATTGAATTATGAACCGGGTCAATGCATGTATGTTGGAAATTAATATATATGAACCCTTGTAGTAAAGCATTCATGGATTTAACATTAGTTAAGGTAGATGCATACGCTGGATGATAATCTGAATTGTAACATTTTTTCTGTGCTGAGTTGCTACTTGTTTCCAGCTTAGCTTTGTTGGTTATGTTTTTGTCTTTCGTACCTTATTATCCTTATTAAGTGGTGTACAATCTTGGGCTGTAGTTCCTGTTTCAGCTATAGAGCTGTACTTGGATATTAGGAGCACAATTGAAGACTATGTCAGGGTTGGTAACAGACTATAAGGTTTTTATCCCCTTTGTACATGTATAATCTAGCAAGTGTTTGTAATTACTCTTATTATTTTCTACTCTAGGGATTTACTGAACCCACATCAGACAAACTGCTACCAGATCTACTTCCTCAAGATCAGCATGTCTTCACCCTAGTTCTTGATCTGAACGAAACTCTTGTCTATTCTGATTGGCAGGTATATTGTGGCTTCTATCCTGTTCTGTTATTTATTTCATTATATGTGCCACCTTGGAATCCAAAAATATGATGTATAATATATGAAAGACAAACACCTGGTACTGTATTTGCAAATGTTTTGTTTTGTTGAAATAGTTTCGTATTGCAAAATTGCAGGCCCATTATCCCTGCCACACAGGAAAGAGATCATGACTGATTTGCAAATGTTATTACGATTACTGGAAAGTTTAATAGATGAAATTTGTTGTTTCATTTATCTGGACTAAACTGTCCACCTAAAAGTCATGGAATATTTGTTATAATCTGGTATAAATAAATGTGTATTGTCATTGAGTTTTAGTACAATCACAGAAGAAGATAAGTCATGATGGAGTTGTGCATGAAAAATATATGTTCCGATCGAATTTAAATTATAAATTTAAAATTTTTTTGATGAAAAATTTACTATAGGGACGGTTCTAGACTGAACCATCATCTACAAATCGATTTGTAGGGGCGGTCTGGGAACCGCCCCTACAAATGCATGATTTGTAGAGACGGTATGGTAGGGGTGGCTGGCCGAGCCGCCTCTACGAACCATCGCTAGCCACCCCTACAAATGCTTTTTGTAGTAGTGTCCAGTACATCGAGCACTGGGACACCATCTCCTTAGAGATCATCCGCGCGCACAAGACAAGCGAGTGGAACGAGCCGTTCACGGAGCTGCTCAGGAAGAACGCCAACATCCACAGCAAGGAGGAGGCGCTCGCCGTGGTCAGTGTGGTTGCCAATCCCACCCACTACTACAGAAGTTAACTGTAGGGGCGGCTCTAGAGCCTCTGTAGGGAGGCTATGGAGAGAGCGGAGGTAGCGAAGGGAGGGAGGGAGTGCTCGCTCGGTCGGGAGGGAGAC